CGGAGATGAATAGAAAAATCTTCTCTCTGACATCTTTGGTCAGTATTTTTTCATGATTATGGCAATCATAATGCTTCCGTTGAATTTATGAGGTTGTGTGGCACCTGGTAGAGGAATCATTATTATTATTATTATTTTTTGAGACGGAGTTTCGCTCTTGTTACCCAGGCTGGAGTGCAATGGCGCGATCTCGGCTCACCGCAACCTCCGCCTCCTGGGTTCAAGCAATTCTCCTGTCTCAGCCTCCTGAGTAGCTGGGACTACAGGCACGCGCCACCATGCCCAGCTAATTTTTGTATTTTTAGTAGAGACAGGGTTTCACCATGTTGACCAGGATGGTCTCGATCTCTTGACCTTGCGATCCACCCGCCTCGGCCTCCCAAAGTGCTGGGATTACAAGCGTGAACCACCGCGCCCGGCCTGAGGAATCATTATTATGAAAAAGTTTTGTCTCACCAGGATGACTTCTGACAATGTTTATGCTCCAAGAGTTTGCCTTTATACCAGAGTGCCTAGCAAAATATAAATAATGTGTTTACTACAGAAAAAAGAAGGGAGGGATCAATGTAATGGAGATTACAAGATAAATGTTTTCAGATCAAATATGTGATTCTTCCTATAGCAGGAATCTTATTTTTAATGGTTTTCACAGATGTCAACGTTGTGTGAGATTATTTACAGCTGTACTGGCTCTAACTTCTTATTTATTTTAGCAATGTAGACTTTGTTAGAAAAATAAAATTTAAAACTAGGATAAATTAGGGAGAATGTTATTTCATCTGGAAGAAACTATCTACGTCACTTGAGACTTTGCCTTTATTTTGAATGAGTAGTACTGATTTCCCTGTAATGAGTGAAAAAGCTATTTTATAAGAAGAGTGCCAGAGAAGACATAAATAATAAACACATATCTATTTTCTGGAATGTACTATTAATCTTGTTACAAGGAAAAATTTTCAATAATTAAAACATTTACTCATTCCAGGTAAAATTAATGTTTCAGATCTATGTGATAAGATGTTAAAATTTGTATGTGTGTGGCAATGGGGTCCTTCAATTAAAAAGACAAGAAATTACAGGTAACATGAAAGAGGATTACATATGTAGAAAAGGAATTAGCAAATGTTAAACTCAAACTCTAGGCTGAACACAGATAAATAATTATAGAAACAGAAAGGGGTTCTGAGTGTTTCACTTTGAATGCAATTGAGAGAGAGATCACATATGAAAGAGCAGTTGAAAGATATCGAAAATAAATCGACAACTTTCAACATATGCCTGCTAGGATTTCTGAAGAAGAGAATGAAGAGAGTTTTAGAGAAATAAGACCTGAAGCACTAATGAAAGAATTGACACACACAAGTACTTAGAAAGGAAGGACGCTCACTTGGTGGGCAGAGCAAGATGATGAAATAGAGCACTCCACCAGTCATCCTCCAGCAAGGATACCAATTTAACAACGATCTACATTAAAAAAACACCTTCATAAGAACTAAAAATTAGGTGAACCCTCATGATACTTGGTTTTAACATCATATAAGAAGCACTGGAAAAATTAAAAGATAAAACAGTCTTAAATTGCCAGGGCCCCCCCTCCTCCACCTCACAGCAACTGTATTATGGAGAGCAGCTCCAGGCACTAGAAGAGGGAGAGCACAGTAATTGTGAGGCATTGATCTCAGTACTGTCCTATTAAAGCAGAAAGAAAAACTGGACCAAACTCAGATGATGCTCACTTTGGAGTGAGCACTGAAGCCAGCCTTAGACAGGGGAACAATTAATCATAGCAGTCAGAACCAGAGTTCCTGCAAACCTCAGCACTGTAGGCTAACTTTCTTTGGGTCTCTAAATAAACTTGAAAGGCAGCCTAGGCCACAAGGATTGCAACTCTTAGATGAATCCTCATGCTAAACTGGGGCCAGAGACAGTGGAGTGGGGGGATATGCAACCAACTGAGACACCAGCTCGGGTGGCTTAGTGAGCACTAGCATTACCCCTTTCCTAACTCCAGGCTGCACAGCTGGTGGCTACAAAAGAGATCCCTTCCTTCTGCTTGAGGAGAGGAGAGGGAAGAGTAGGGAAGACTTTGTCTTGCATCTTGAACACCAGCTCAGCCACAGCAGGATAGAGCATGGTTAGAGTCATGAGGCCCTTGTTCCAGGCCCTGTCTCCTGGACATTTCTAGACACACCCTAAACCAGAAAGGAACCCACTGCCTTGGAGGGGAGAACCCTGTTCTGGTAACATTCATCACCTGCTAACTGAAGAGGCCTTGGGAGTACTTTAATCAGAAAGAAAAGGAGATTGTTGAGCAACCAGTAATCACCCAAACATACAAAACTCATAGGTGATAGTAAGTACACAGAAAAACACAGAATATCATAACACTGTAACAGTGGTGTGTAAACTACTCTTATCCTAAGTAGAAAGACCAAATGATAAACCATAAAAGAATAACTACAACTTTCCAAGACATAGTACAATAAAATATAAGTAGAAATAATGAGTTAAAAAGTTGGGGAAACAAAGTTAAGGTGTAGACTTTTTATTAGTTTTCTTTATGCATGTTTGTTTATACAAAAAGTGTTATCAGGTTAAAATGATGGGTTGAAAGATAGTATTTTCAAGCCTCATGGTAATCTCAAACAAACAAATATAATGGATACATAAAAGCAAGAAAGTAAATCATATATCACCAGAGAAAATAACCCTCACTAGAGGAAGACAGGAAGGGACGAAGGAAGAGAAGACTACAAAACAACCATAAAACAAATAACATGACAGAAGTCCTCACTTGTCAATAACATAGAATGTAAATGGACTGAACTCTCTGATGAAAAGACATACAAGGCTGACTGGATGAAAAAATCCAACCTTGATCTGTTGCCTATAAGAAACACATTACATTTATAAAGAAACACATAGACTAAAAATAAAGGGATGGAGCAAGATATTTCATGCTAATGGAAAACAAAAAAAAAAAAAAAAAGCAAGTGTAGCTATACGTAAATCGGACAAAACAGACTTTGAGACAAACAGAAGAGACAAAGAAGGTCACTATAATAAAGATGTCAATTCATTAAGAGGATATAACAATTGTAAATAAATATGCTCCCAACCTAGACACCAAGATATATCAAACATTAGAGCTAAAGAGAGAAATAAGTCCCAATACAATAATAGCTGGAGTCTTCAACACTACCTTCAGCACTGTACAGATGTTCCAGACAGAAAATTAACAAAGAGTCATTAGACTTAATCTAGACCTGATGGATCTAATAGATATTTACAGAACATTTCATCCAATGGCTGTAGAATACATACTCTTCTTGTTAGCACATAGGTTATTTTCAAGGGTAAACCATATGTTAGGTCACAAAACAAGTCTTAAAGTATTCAAAAATTGAAGTAATAGCAAGCTTCTTCTCTGACCATAATGGAATAAAATTAGAAATTAATAACAAAAGCAATATAAGAAACTACACAAATGTATGGAAAGTAAACAATATGCTCCTGAATGACCAGTGGGACTATGGAGAGATTAAGAAGAAATTGAAAAATTTCTTGAAAAAAATGTTAATGGAAACACAACATACCCAAGCCTATGGAATACAGCAAAAGCAGTACTCAGAGAAAAATTTGTAGCTATAAATGCCTACATTAAAAGAGAAGAAAAATTTCAGGTAAACAATCTAATGACATATCTTAAAGAATTAGAAAAGCAAGAGCAAACTAGACCCCAAATAAGCAGAACATAACAAAGATCAGAACACAAGTACATGAAATTGAAGTGAAAAAATACAAAAGTTTTTTTTTTTTTGAACAGTTAAATTGACAAACTTTTATCCAGACTAAAGGAGAAAGAAGAGGGAAGATCCAAATAAAATCAGAAATGAAAAAGGAGACGCTACAACTGATACTGCAGAAATTCAGAGGATCCCTAGGGGCTAGTGTAAACAACTATGTCAATAAATTGGAAAATCTAGCAGAAATGAACAAATTTCTAGACACATACAACCTACCAAGATTGAACGAGGAAGAAGTCCAAAGCTGAACAGACCAATAACAAATAATGATAAGCCATAATAAAAGCGCTCCCAGTAAAGAAAAGCCTGGGACTTGGTGGCTTCGCTGCTGAATTCTACCAAACATTTAAAGAGCTAATACTAATTCTGCTCACACTATTTCAAACTATAGAGGCAAAGGCAATACTTCCAAACTCTATGAGGCCAGTCTTATGTGAAAACCACCCAGAAAACTATAGGCCAACATCTCTGATGAATATTTGGACTCGAGATTCCAGGGGCAGAATGATATGGTTAGACTTTGTGTCTCCAACCAAATCTCATCTTGAATTGTAACCCCCATTTTCCCCATAATCCCCACGTGTCAAGGGAGAGACCAGGTGTATGTAATTGATTTGTGGGGATGGTTTCTCCCATGCTGTTTTCATGATAGTGAGGAAGTTTTCACAATAGCTAATGATTTTATAAGGGGCTCTTCTCCCTTTGCTCAGCACTTCTTCTTCCTGTCAACTTGTGAAGAAGGTGCCTTATTTCCCCTTCACCTTCCGCCATAATTGTAAGTTTCCTGAGGCTTTCCCAGCCATGCTGAACTGTGAGTCAATTAAACCTCTTTCCTTTATAAATTACCTAGTCTCAGGCAGTTTTCTTTTCTTTTCTTTCTTTTTTTTTTTTTTTTGCAACAATGTGAGAAGAGACTAATATACTATCCATCTGACAAGGGGGTAATAAACAGAATATACAAGGAGTACCAACAAACCTATAGGAAATAAATTTAATAATGCCATTTAAAACTGGATAAAATATCTGAATAGACATTTTTCAAAAGAAAACTTGCAAATGAGAAAGAGACATGAAAAGGTTCAACATCATTATCAAAAATTGCAAATCAAAACAATGAGATCATTATACCCTAGTTAAAATGGCTTTTATCAAAAAATCGGGCATTAGCAAATGCTGTCAAGAATGTGTAGAAAAGGGAACAAACCCTCATATACTCTTAGTGGGAATGTAAATTAGTAAAGACATTATGGAGAAAATTTTGGAGATTCTTCAAAAAACTAACAATAGAGCTACCATATAATCCAGCAATCCCACTGTTGGGTACATAACCAAAAGAATGGGTATCATTATATCAAAGAGATAGCTGTTCTTTTATGTTTGTTGCAGCACTATTCATAATAGCTAAGATTTGGAAGCCACCTAAGTGTCTATCAACAGATGAATGGATAAAGAAAATGTGGCACATTTACATAATGGAGTACTATTCAGCCATAAAGAATGAGATTCTCTCATTTGTAACAACATGGATGGAACCGGAGATCATTATGTTAAGTGAAATAAGCCAGACAGAGAAAGACAAACATCACATATCCTCACTTATTTATGGTATGTAAAAATGAAAACAATGGAATTCATGGACATGGAGTAGAAGAATGGCTACCACAGACTGGGAAAAGTAGTGGAAGACTTAGAGGAGGGAAGTGGGGATGGCTCCTGTGTATCAAAAAATGAAAAGAATGAACAAGACCTATTTGATAGCACAACAGGTTGATATAGTCAATAATTGTACATTTTTAAATAACGAAAAGAGTATAGTTGGATTGTTTATATGCTTTAGGGGATGGATGCCACATCCTTTATGATGTGGTTATTTAATATTGCATGTCTATATCAAAATAGCTCATGTACTCCATAAATATATACAGCCACTATGTACCTGCAAAAATTAAAAATGAAAGGAAAAACACTGTAAATATTGGCCAGTTAAAAAATCCTCATATCAAATGCTTTGTAGTAGAACTGCATAACATAAATAAAAATAAATTCTTAAAACCTACCTCAGAGAATAGATGGACCACCTAGAATGTCAATTAATGAGACAACAGATCCATTATGAACAGGATTATGATCAAGATATGTCAAAAACAATACTAAAATACCTTCAAAGTAATGAAGGAAAATAACTTAGGACTTAAATTTTTACATCCATCTAGATTACCATGAAAGAAGAGAGGGTTAAAAAGAATATTTCTGACATATAAAGACCAAGATAGTTTACTAGCCATAGTTTTTCATTGAAAAAGGTACAGTGGTCCCCATTTACCTGCAGTTTTTCTTTCCATTGTTTCAGTTACCCAAGGTCAACTGCAGTTGGAAAATAGCTGGGTAAACAATAGTACAATAAAATGTTTTGAGAGCAAAAGAGAAAGAGACCACAATCACATCACTTTTTTTTTTTTAATAGAACATTGTTATAGTTCTTCTATTTTATTGTTTCAAATCTTTCTGTGCCCAATTTATAAATTAAACTCTAACATTGCTAGGTACTGTCTAGAAAAAAATATAGTGTGTATATATAGGGTTTGGTACCATTCTTTTCTCTTCTGCTGCCATGTGAAGAAGGATGTGTTTGCTTTCCCTTCTATCATAATTGTAAGTTTCCTGGGACCTCAGCAATGCCGAACTGTGAGTCAGTTAAACCTCTTTCCTTTATAAATTACCTAGTCTTATGTATGTCCTTATAGCAGCATGAGAACAGACTAATACATACATATATATATGTGTGTGTGTGTGTATATATGTATATATGTATATATATGTGTGTGTGTATATATGTGTATGTGTGTGTATATGTGTGTATATGTGTGTATATATGTGTGTATATATATGTGTATATATATGTGTATATATATATAGTGCAGAAACTTAATCTAAAAATAGTTTTAATTAACTACTGGATGTAAAAAATAATGCAGAAATATGTACAAATAAAATGAAAGGACTAATACAGGTCGCAGTGACAACATGGGAACAACATAGGTCGCGTGACAACATGGGTACTTTGTTCTGTGGAGCGTTAACTGGTAATAAGACCAATGTCATTTTCAGGAGGAAGAAAGGAATCTCAAATTTCTTCAAACTTAGGAAAACAAAGACCCAAATAAGTACATTAGAAAATTTAAGAGTAACCCTTGCTTTTCTCCAGCGGAAGGGCACAGGGAAAGTAAGTATATAAAAGTTCATTAATCTAGCAAATTGCAGCAAAAGAGAAAAATATGATGAAGGAATAAAAGGGTAGTTCACCACATGATACTTGCTGATTCCCTTTTTGGCAGCTTCAATCCTTCCCAGTTTTATAAGATCATGTGATTCTACATAGCGTTATGTTCTTAACCTGGTAGCCCATCCTGACTTTAGTTCATGGCTAGGGAATGCTCTGGCATCTTCCTATAGTCCTACTAAGGGATTCATGGTCAGTTTTCATTTCTCAAATGAATATGAAATTAAGACTAGAGAACTTGATGGAAGCCTTATACTGGTCTTCAATTTTTTTTTTCCATCTTCCATCTCTCTCACTGGGATATGCAATCAAGTTCCCAGGAAATCTAATTCAATGCACATCCCTTAGAGAATACATGTTTTGAACCCCAAATCATATCACATGATCTGATGAGTGCTAATTTCTATATGGGACTATGGGATCAAGTATTTATGGTAGAGGTGAGCACAGATCACTACTTAGACATATGGTCATTATAAATTACAGGAAGAAAATAAAATAACGTTATGTTATTGATATGGAAGAAAGACAAAACATACCTGATTTGCAAGATTACCCTTTAACTTGTTGAACCACTGGGAAACTAATTATCCAGCCCACTGTACTGCATATTATTGAAATATATTTTCTCATCTATATAACTTTCATCTCATCATACTATTTACTGTTATATGACTTGATTGATAAATGAATCTCCTTTTAAACTAGCAAATTTTAAATCATTGTGTTTTGGTAGAAAATATAAATAGATCAGAAAAGTTTAGTAAAAATACTACTCAAGACAACCACTATTAACATTTTGGTAAGTTTTTATTTCAGCCTTTTATTTAAGTAGAAAACGTTGGCTCTCTCTTAAAACAAATTTAATATTTAATAGGTTTCTATATTATACTTGGTGTCTCCACTGGCAAGCATATGGTAATCACTAAATGAATAATTAGGTGGATGTATAAATGAATGAAGCGATAAATAAATGGATACATGAATAACAATCAGGAAGAAAACTATGTATTCAAATTTAGGGCTAGTTAAAGAGACCCTAGTACACAAAGAAGAAAGAAATAATAAATTGTAAAGGTAGGTTATGGATGGAGAATTCAAATGTCAGGAAATAACAGAGCTCATTTTACTTTACGTATAACAGCCATAAATCTCAAATGCAGAGTTCATGTTTTGGGGGGGAAAATGAGTGATTTTCTTGTAAGTAATAATGACATCTATTTCATCTTCCTGAATTTCAGCCCGTGGAATTACAGATAACATATGCCAGCAAAAGTGGCTGTAAATAGGGAGACTCCTCATTCTGTGCTACTATGGTTCATTTTGTATTCTGTAATGGCATCATTATACATCACAGAAAGGACATCTGGGCTTTTCAGATTCTTTTGGCTACAGCTTCAGACTGTAGGTAAAAGAAATTTCTGTAGAAAATTTCTCCTGCTGGTCTTAATAGTATTTGGTCAATGTTTTTTCTATAGGTCTACAAATTATACATATCAAAGCTTGGCTGTTTGTATGTGAGATTAGTTTTGGGAATTCTTTTGCTTACTGATGAAATATCAGTTTTGAAAATATACAAATAGAAATTGCAAACACTTTAGTTTTTAAACTTTCTTTTAAATTAAACTATTATTGCTGAAAAAAGATTTAGATGTTTATTTCTGTTCTCATTTAGTTTTCAAATCTCTGTACACTTTAGTAATAAATATGAATATTTAGTAATAAACATCACCGTCTATTGAGTTCCTACTATGTATCAGGCAGCGTATTAGGTGCTGAATACTTCATATTAAATTCTCACCATAAATTTTGAAGTTCATGACAATTAGGTAGATTGAAAGTTACAGGCTGTTTGAGCTGGAATTCAGAAATGGATCTGTCTCTACCTACAGATCCTTGCTACAGATGCCTTGCTACAAATAAAGATGAAACATAGAAACACATTTCTTGATGTCTGGCCTTGATTGATATCAATTCAGCATTCATAGACCACGTAAGAACTCAAGAGATAGCTCATTGGCTTCTTTCCTCAAAAGTCATTGTGATATTATGAGAAAGGCTCAGAAATAGGATTCGGGAGAAAAATATTCCAGTACTGACTCTCTGAAAAAATATTTAATAAGCATAATTATGATAGCCATAAGAATAGTGTTGCCAATAGAGTTTTTAATATGAATTAGATGGGTTTGTTGGTGGTTCAATCCTTAAAGCTCAGTGCATATAGATTAGTATACTTATGCTAAGGGCCTAGAACACTATTGTGAAATTGTAATGTAAGTGATTTAATAAATGAGTATCTCTAGTCTCATGCCACAGTCAGTCTCCTATGTCTTCCTCTATGTCATTACTGTTATTAGAAAACTAGATAAAGACATGTTTGGCCTCTAAGCAAGCCAACATTGCTGATGATATAAATTGTGTGTAGGTATTATCAGTGTTGAATAAATCAAAAATTGAAATTGATCACAAGACATTAGACTAGGACCAAGGTGAGCTACATGAAATTTAATTTTAAAACATTACCATTAGTGATTAAAACTAATCATTATGTAATTTGATATGAAATTATTAAACATAAAAAGCAACAAACAAAAAAACTTTAACATTAGAGGAAACTATCAACAGTATAATCCAAAGGTGGCCTAGGGTAGACTTGACAATTTATGTGAAAGACTTATGGGTTTTACAAGTCACCTGGTCACTACAAGCTAATACTATGTTTTGACAGTGGAAAAGCTAACATGTTCTTGGGAAATGGAAATATTATGGTAAATTAGAAAGTATATTTAGACTTGCTTTATCTCAATCTAAAGAGAAACACCTAAATTGGTGGTGATGTCCAGTTTGAAATACAATAACACCTCCAGAGGCAGGGAGTTATCTGCTACTGGTGGGGTTCAAGGCAAGCCAGGAAAACCATGTAAGAAGCATGAAGTTTATTTAGGAAGAAGGTTGAACTAGGCTAACTGAAGGACTGTTTCAATTCTAAAATTATAATATTTAAATGGAAATACCTTGAACTTCAGTTTGGGCTATCTGTAAAATGAGGGTTTTTTTCAGAACATTTAATGTATATGTACATA